TGAAATCTCCCCCAGCTCTCCCCCACGGAGGGTGGGACTGCACGGTGTTATTAATCACTTTCTAGAGTGGGGCAGCTGCTTGTATACCCTGCACTGCTCCCTGTGGGGTCCTGGGCTGTGTGTGGGTGCTCACCTTAGGCTGGAAAGAGGGTGGAGGGGGCCCTTGGGAGAGGGCTCCACACCTAGACTCTCTCAGACACACACACAGAATCGGTCACTCAGTCACTCAACAGACATTCATAAGCACTCAGCGTGGTTAGGCACAGAGCCACAGAAGGGATCAAGATGGACCCATCCTGTCCTTGTAGAGCTCATGGGTGGGTGGAGGAGATAGATGATGATCAGAATCACCCACAGAGAAAGCGTTACAGTCTGTGAAGGAGATACAGACATAGCTGGGTAGCTGGGTCATGGATTTGTGAGGCCAGGCTGGGTCCTCCTCTCACCATGACCTTGCTCCCTAAGATGCCTTCTCTAGACTTGCCCTGTCTGTCCCCCTCTGCTCTGGCCCTCCTTGTCATCTCCCCCAGGGACAGTATTTACTTGGTTCAGCAGCCTGAGCAGCTCAGCTCACCTCCTTTTCCAAATTCTCCATCCTCCTGGCCAGCCACCACATCAAACCTGGCTTGTCTGCATATCTGACGGCTGTCCTAAGGAGGCTGAGCAGATGGACCTCTGTGTGGCCATCCTGTCTGGGTGAGGGGTCTGGATGAGGTGAAAGGGTAACTGAAATTAGGCCATGCCAAGCCTTCAAAGCCAAGGGGCCCCCAGGGAGATCAGGCTGGGCAGAAGGGACTTGCTCACACCTATTTCCTCTGGACAGAGGAGGTGTGACCAGACAGGGCAGGAGGTGAACCATCCTCTCAGGGCACAAGGAAAGCCACCCACCCTGTGTCCCCATGGCCAGTCTCTTTTAGGGCCCCAAAGAAACTTTTCACCATGTGGCTCAGAGAGGGGAACCCACTATCCTTGGGTCACAAAGGAGGGAGCAAGCGGGTAGCTGGGGCTGGCGCTGATAGCAAGGCAGGGTGGAGGCAGAGTGGAGGAGAAACTCAGGCATCCTGGGGAAGAGGGAAGGAACGTGGAGAGGCATATTCTGAAATTCCCAAATTTAACTTTCAAAAGGACTCTTCATATAGAGCTAAGTGTAGAGTTACCATCTGACCCAGCAATTCTACTGCTAGGTATACACCCAAGAGAAATGAAACATGTCCACATGAGAACTTGTAAATAAACGTTCACAGCAGCATGATTCTCAAGAACCAAAATGTCAAAACAACCCAAGTGTTCATCAGCTCATGGAAGGATAAACAGAATGTGGTCCATCCACACAGGAGAATATTATACAGCCATAAAAAGGAACAAAGAGTTGACCCTCATGCTAAATCATGAATGATCCTTGAACATGTTACGCTGAATGAAAGAAGCCAGTTGCAAAAGGCCACACAATGTATGATTCCACTTACACGAAATGTGGAGAAGAGGCAAATCCATAGAGACAGAAAGTAGATTAGTGGTTGCCAGGGACTTGGGGAGGGGAGAATGGGGAATGACTGCTAACAGGTACGGGATTTCTTTTGGGGTGATGAATATGTTCTACAATTTATGATGATTGGACAACATTGTGAATATACTGAAAACTGCTGAATTTGAGATGCTGCATGGTTGAATTGCATGGTAGGGGAATTGCACTTCGATGAAGCTGTTCCTTCAGAGTCAGGACTGAGGTTGCCATTTTAGGGACCAGAGCCTTGGGGTGGGAGGGGCCTGAGACCATGTGCTGAAAGGAAGTTGAGACTGGGACCAGCCTCAGGCCAGACTCTAAGGGTCTGCTCCCTGGGAATGGACCTCGGGCTCTACCCACTTCCTCCGCTTCCCCCACTGCACCCCACCTCTGCTCCCTGCTGCTGAGCCTTTCCCCAGCTGGCTGGGATGCTGTTTACCTGCTCCTTGCCTGACCATCACCTCTAGAAAGGCTTTGTCAACCTCTCTCTCTACTCCCGTCCTTCTACCAGCCGGACTTTATTGAGTGCTTAGCAGGTGCCAGGCTCTGTGAGGAACTGGGGATATGCTGATGAACAGACATCCCAAGACTACCATCCTGGATGTCCCCAGATTTTCACCCACCCCTCACCTGAGAGCCAGAGGGTGTGTGGAGCGAGGGGATTGGCTGTCAGACACTTCAAGCACACTCTTGTTCCTGGACCTCAGTCTCCCACTCCCAGCATGGTCGATGTCCTGCTGTTTTTGCTAAATTCTTCCTGGAAAGTCCTTAAGCTAGTGTGTGTTTATGTGTAGGGGAGGGGGTATGGAAAAGGCATTCCCAGCAGGGAGAACAGCATGAGCAAAGACTAGGAGGTGGGAACAGCTATGCCTGTGATGGTGCAAGGAGATGGAAGAGCCACCAGGTTTTAACGCTGGAATTGGGAGCCCTGAGTGGTGGCTGCTAAGACTGTGGGTGGGTTCTGCAGGTGGAGTTGGATCCTATCTGGGAGAGTGCTAAGGAGAACTAGCCTATCTGGAACAAATCCTGTTTTAAGCTAGACCAGAAGAAGAACTTCCTGTGACCCTGCGTGTGCCAGCATGCACCCCAGACAGTGCTGTGCCAACACCCTGCCCACGGGGCTCCTGACTGAGTCTTGCCCTGACAAGCAGGTGCAGACATGGCATCTGGAAACTGAACTGGGGCCCTGGTCAGTGGTCTTCATCCCACTGGCTCCATAGAGCCCTCTCCCGCCAGGGCTGCCTCTGGGTGAGAACTCTAGACGTGTTTATGGGTCATGGAGGCCCCTGCCCCTGGGAAGTGCTCCTTCCCCTGGGAATCTCCTTCCCAATGCCCTTAGATCTAGATACCATTAGGCTCAGGAGCAGCCCATTAACCAGCAGAAGCCAGCACAGTGGTCTCTGGGCATTGGCTGGAGAAAGGCTGGTCTCTATGGGGAGCTTGTGCCCACCTGCACCAACTGTGAGGCCAGGAAGGCTGAGGCAGAGGCAAAGCGAGGACGTGGGTTTGATTCCTTCTTTACCAGTGACTCACGCTTTCCCAGCCAGCCCTCCTTCTCTGCCTTCCTTTTGCTGTGCTGGGGGTTCAATGAAGCTGGGGGTGCATAAAGCTCCTGCAGTGTCCAGTGCCCAGGAGGTCTCATTACTTGCATGGCCACTGAGTCTCCCTGCCCCTCAGAGGAAGCTCTTAGGACAGGATCTAGGCTCCTCCTTCTAGTTTCCCCAGCACAGGTCTGAATCCTTCACATCTCCAATAGGAGCTACTTTGCCAGCATCAGAGATGGGTCACTGACATCTCACAGGAGCATCAGATGGACTCGGCTGCAGACAGACTGAGTGATACGGTAGAAAGAGTCAGGAGCCTGATGCCTGAACTTCACTGGGCTCTTTGGAAGGACGTCTGTCCTCCCTGGGCCTGTCTCCCAGACTCTAAAATGGTAATCAGAGTTGACTAGTCCTCTCCAGCTGCCAGGCCCGTGATCCTGACGAATGGCAATGGCAAAGCAAACCGAGACCAGCAAGGCGCGCTCCAGTCCTATGCAGACTTCCCTCGACATTCCGGGAACCCCTCTGCGCACAAGGGCAGGGGTCCACGCGCCTTCTTGGCCCTCTTGCTCTGCCCGCTCACCTGTCACGCCGCCCTCATTAACAAGGGGCAGCCATCGGCCTCTAAGACAGGGTCCTTTAGCCAGCAGCGCAGTTCTGTCACTGTCCTGTGTCCCGATCCGCCGCCGCAGCATCCCTGCACGGAAGGGTGAAGACATTGGAGCTGAACGGGCTGGGACCTGGGGTCTCCAAGCAGACGCGTCTGGGTAGTCTCTGAGGCTCAGAGTCGCGCCACAGCGCG